CGGGACAAATATTTTATTCAAATGTTTCCGTTCGCAGATTCGTCGTTGTTTGCGGAGATGGAGAATTCATAATTTACACAGCAATGGCTTTGAGAAACAAGGCGTTCGGGTCTGCTCAGGAGTTCGTGTGGGCTTTGGATTCCTCGGAATATGCTGTCAGAGAAAATTCTTCTTCTGTCAAGATCTTCAAAAACTTCAAGGAAAAGAAAACCTTCAAGCCTGAGTTCGGCGCTGAAGGTTATTTCCATTTTAGACAAGCCTTCGCGTGTGAAAATTGAGATTTTATGTTTGTTTTTATTTTTTTAAGGAATTTTCGGTGGTTACATGCTCGGAGTTCGTTCAGTGTCAGGATTGGCTTTCTATGAGTGGGAATCTCTGTCGTTGATCAGGAGAATTGAGATTCAACCAAAACACGTATTTTGGTCAGAAAGCGGTGAATTGGTGTGTATTGCAACTGAGGATTCTTACTTCATACTCAAGTTCAGTGCCGAGGAGGTGGAGAGATGCCGTCAGTCCAAGGAGGGGCTGTCCGCTGATGGATATGAAACTGCGTTTGATGTGAGTTCAAAAGTATTTTATTTTCTGGATTCCATTACAGCGCCGATGTAGACATTCGTAGTATCTGTACGTAAGTAATGTACATGATTCGTTTTAATTTTAATTTTCTTCAAATTGTATTTATTTTATATGGATCTGATTGCTATGCATTCGACAAAGTTTGAAAAGTATTTAGTTGATATCCCCTAGGTGTTGAAGCGAGATTTGTAAAAAAAAAAATTTTATACCAGTCGGCCTTTCATTTAGAAGCACAGTATCAGGAAACTTACGCCTCGATTAACAACCTGACCAGAAGTAAAATAGCCGACTGAACCAAAACTATGTCGAAATACTGTAGTACAGTTTGACTATATGCGTCAAAATTCAGGTAACCAGAAAAAAATTAATTGTAGAGAACCTTTTTAATATGGGTAGAGCCCCCTGCGGAACCGATAAGAAAAGACGTTATACAGAGAAAATCATTCCCG